ATTTTTGGGAATCTGTGGATGAGAAAGATAGCTGGATGGAAAGATGGATTGATTGGATATACTGATAAATGGTTAAATAAAGGTTTTACAATGCATGAGTGCAAGGATTTGTTGTTTTACTCATTTATGGATATTTGTCACTGGCTGGGCCAGCATTTATTGCCCATCCCTAATTGCCCTTGAGAAGGTGATGGTGAGCTGCCTTCTCGAACCACTGCAGTCCATGTGCTGTAGGAAGACCCACAATGTCATTAGGGAGGGAACTCCAGTATTTTGTCTTAGCAATAGTGAAGGAATAGTGATATTTCCAAGTCAGGATAGTGAGTGCAGGTGGTGGTGTTCCTGTGTATCTGCTGCCCTTGTCCTTCTAGGTGGAAGTGGTCATGGGTTTGGAAGGTGCTGTCTAAGGATAAAGAACATTGATGAACTTTTGCAGTGCACCTTGTAGATGTCGCCCACCGCAGCTACGAAGCATCAGTGAGGGAGTGGGACTGCCAATCAAACGGGCTTCTTTGACCTGCTTGGTGTCAAACTTCTCAAATGCTGTTGGAGCTGAACTCATCCAGGCAAGTGGGGAGTATTCCATTACATTCCTGAATTGTGCCTTATAAATAGAGGACAGGCTTTGGGGAGTCAGGAGGTGAGTTACTCACTGCAGTATTCTTAGCCTCTGACCTGCTCTTGTAGCCACAGTGTTTATATGGCCAGTCCAGTTCAGTTTTTAGTCGGTGATAACTCCCAAGATGTTCATAGTGGGAGATTCAGTGACTGTAATGCTATTATATGTCATGAGGTGATGGTTAGATTATCTCTTATTGGAGATGGTCATTGCCTGTCATTTGTGTGGCACAAATATTAGTTGCCAATTTTCAGTCTGAACCTGGATATTGTCCAGATCTTGTTGTATTTGAACATGGACTGCTTCAGTATCTGAGGAGTCGCAAATGATGCTGAACATTGTGCAGTGATTCCCACTTCTGACCTTATGATGGAGGAAAGGTCATTGATGAAGCAGCTGAAGATGGTTCGGCCTATGGCACTACCCTGAGGAACTCCTGCAGGGATGTCCTAGAGCTGGGATGACTAACCTACAACAACCACAGATGTCTTCCTGTGTGTCAGGTATTACTCCAATCCAGAAAAGAGATTTTCATCTGATTACCATTGACTCCTTGATGCCACACTCAGTCAAACGCGGCCTTGATAAATGGCTGTCATTCTCACCTCACCTCTTGAATTTAGTTCTTTTGTCCATGTTTGAACCAAAGTCAGGAGCTGAGTGGCCCTGGCAGAACCCAATCTGGGCATCACTGAGTAGATTATTACTGAGCAGATGCTACTTGATAACTCTGTTGATGACACCTTCAATCACTTTAGTGATGATCAAGATTAGACTAATGGGTTGGTAATTAATCGGGTTGGATTTGTCCTGATTTTTGTGTACAAGACATACCAGGGCAACTTTCCATGTTGTCAGGTAGATGCCTGTGTTGTGAATGTACTGGCTAGGAGTATGCCAAGTTCTGGAATGCAAGTCTTCAGTACTTTTACCAGAATATGGTCAGGACCCATAGTCTTTGCAGTATCCAGTGCCTCCAACTGTTCCTTGATATCACATGGAGTGAACTGAATTGGTTGAAGACTGTGATGCTGGGGACCACAGGAGGAGGCTGAGATGGATCATCCACTCAATACTTTTGGCTATAGATTGTTACAAATGCCTTATCTTTTGCACTGATGTGCTGGGCTCTTCCATCATTGAGGATGGGGATATTTGTGCAGCCTCCTCCGCCAGCGAGTTGTTTAATTGTCCACCACCATTCACAACTGGATGTGGCAGAACTGCAGAACTTGGATCTGACCCATTGGTTATGGGATCAATTAGCTCCGTATATAGCTTGCTGCTTATGTTGTTTGGCATGCCAGTGGTCCTGTCTAGGGATGTCACCAGATTGACACCTCATTTTTAGGTATGCATGGTGCTGGTCCTGGCATGTTGTCCTGCACTCTCCATTGAACCAGTGTTGATCCCCTGGCTTGATGGTAATTGTGGTGTGGGGGATATGCCAGGCTATGAGTTTTCAGATTGTGCTGGAGTATAATTCTACTGCTATTGATAGCCCACAGTGTCTCATGGAGGGCCAGTCTTGAGTCACTAGTTCTGTTCGAAGTCTATCCCATTTAGCATGTTGAGAATTCTGCACAAGACAATGGAGGGTAATATCAAAGTGAAGATAGGACTTTACCTTCATGATGACTGTGTGACGGTCTCTCTTACTGGTACTGTCATGGCCAGAGGCATCTACAGCAGGCAGTTTGTTGAGGCTGAGGTCAAGTATATTTTTCCCTCTTGTTGATTTCCTCACCGCCGTTGCTGATCCAGTCTAGCAGCTATGTCCTTTAGGACTTGACCAGCTCAATCAGTTAGTGCTGCTGCCGAGCCACTCTTGGTTGTTGACATTGAAATCCCCCACCCAGGGTATAACTGCACCCTCAGTGCTTCCTCCAAGTGTTGATCAACAGGGAGAACAGTACGTGGTACTCTGTAGGAGGTTTCCTTGTCCATGCTTGATCTAGTCCTATGAGTGTCTGTCTGGAGTCAATGTTAAGGACTCCCAGGGCAACTCTCACCTAACTGTATGCCATTGTGCTGCTACCTCTGTTGGGCATTCTTTGAGATTTTCTTGTGATTGTGGTTTGCTAGGCCATTTCAGAGAGCAGCTCAAAATCAACTATATTGCAGTGAGTCTAAAGTCATATGGAGGCCTGAGTGGGTAGGCACAGCAGTTTCCTTCCTTAAAGGACATCAGTGAACCAGATATCTTTTCTTCCAATAATCAACAACGGTTACACAGTCATTTTTACACTTGTAATTTCAGATTTTTATACAATCAAATTCCACCATCTGCCAAGGCTGGATTTGAACCCAGGTCCACAGGACATTACCTGGCTCTTTGGATTACTAGTTCACCAATAATGCCACTAGGCCATTGCCTTCCCAAGAAAGGGGGATAGCAAGATAGATAAGTTAAATGGGTAATCTGATATACTAAGTAGATTTGGTGGTCAAATAGATTGTGGATGGGTGGATAACTGGACTGATGCATGGATTGGATGAATATATTAGATGGAAAGATAGAGAAGATGGATGGACTGGATGGGTGATGGGATCAGATGAACGGATGAATGAGTGATAGTATTCAGAGGGGCTCGTATGGAAGGATCAATTTGCTGAATGGACTGGGTAGACAGATGGCATGCCTGCAGAGTTGGATATCTGGATGGACTGGATTGATGGACATTGGGTAGACTGGAAAGATGGATGTACTAATTAGATAAATGGGTAGATTAGGTAAATAGATGGACTTAGAGGGAAACTAAGATGAAAAGTTTGGACAGATAGACCAAAGAATGAATGCTATCTTGGTTAAATGGATAGATGAATTTGAAGTATGGCTTTGACGAATGGATCGTACAGATGTCTTGAACAGATAAATAATGGCTTGGATAAATTAATTGGATAGACAGATGAATAGAAGGCTAATATTTGATAACATTATGATAAACATCCTTTAATTCTGTTATATTCCAGATTAATAACCAAAATACAGTGTCTGAATGCATCTGAATTGATATCCAGTTAGAACCTACCACATTAAGAACCCACCGTCACTTGAGCGATGTATTGGATGTGACAGATAAATATATTTAGGTACATAATATCTTTTAACAAAAAGGTTCAGAGACAAGTTTTGAATAGAACTACCCAAGTCAAATTGTTATATGGGTAGACTGCAACTTCACACAGAAGGTTAGAAGCTTTCTGTGAAACTACCAATATCTTAATGGCTAAGTTTCATACAAACAGTAGGTGGCTGTACCTTGTAACCTCTGTGCACGCTACATGGTGAGTGTAATGTATTAATGGAGCTTCATTTCATATGGTGCAAATTAGATATATATACAACGAATATATGTTAAACATTTTACTAAACATAATTATAATTAAATAGTTTGCTGATGACATGTTAAATGTTAATTGCAGCAACTGAGTACTTTCATACGGAACTGATTCAGATGATCAAAGAAAACTGAACAAAATACTGTTGTACCTGTGCTGCTGCAACATCTTCTCCCTCAACAAAATTAAATTTTGAAGGAGAATTTAGTCCAAGAAATCTGCGAGCTATTTTATCCTCATAAATTATTGTCTATCAAATAGTGATTGACAATGGCGTTATAACAATAAGCAGACTGCAGAACACCTCAGCATAATGAATTAACTATCATTTCCACATCCTGGGTACTTGTATACTTTTATTATTAGTTCATGGAATGTGGCACGGTCAGTATTTCCTGCTCATCTCTAAACTCTCCTTGAGAAGGTGGTTCTAAGTTGCCTCTGCACTGCTGCAATACATGTGGAGTACATAAATCCACAGAACTTTAAGGAAGGGAATTGCAGCATCTTGATATCATGTTATGATCATTCTCTATAGTGACCATTACAAACAGAGCAAACAACAAAAACCTCTGCTGTAGCTATTATCTGCCAGTGGGCTTGTAGTAACTGACTACTGCATGAGTTCGCAGATCCTTTGAGGAAATTCATTGATGCTAAATTTCTCAATTGAGACTCATTTGTTGAGGCTGTGAAATGTTGAATGTGCCATATAACTCCAAGGAGGTTCAAACTGCCATTGAGAGACATTCTGTTCCAGGAATGTAGTATCCCTGAATTTATCCTCATATGCTTATTAAAATCAAAAGACACACCATCATGTTTGACCTTTATGATTATAACTAGGGATGTAAAGGAATTACATTTATAACTATTCCCAGGGCAACTGAATGGTTTTGCACATTAAAGGAGGTGGAACATTATTCCTGTCACATAAACACAACTTACAAAATATTGCTGAAGCTGGAATTAGAAATCTATATTCAGTGTCAATGCAGCAAGAAAATTCTTTGCTCCCCTCTGTGTGGAAGGCTCTTACCTGCTGCCCAGTTTGAGAAACATCATCTCTGAAGCGTAACTTTCTGTCTAAGTCATGTATTACAGCATCCTTGCTATCCCGTATATCATCATCGATGGATGTTCGAGGCGATTTGGGCACTTTCTTCAAGATACCCTGTGGAGGGCTGCATTATTAAATCAAAAACTGTCACTTTATAATGTTTGTACACATCTTGAATAAAACACCTAAATATAATAGATTTCAAGATAAAGTATTAATTTAACACCCATTGGCAATAAGACAGTGCAGTTGGTTAACATGTTGCGACTGGATTAACTGTTAAAACCCATGTGAAATTATTTAGGGTCACCTTAAGCATGTGTTGTACCACTCATGATGAAATTATTTAGTGATATCCATTTTCTTTTGTACTGAGCAAGCCAGCAACTGTGACTGGTGACATCTTCACAACAAACAGTTGCAAGATGGCAACATGCAATTCTGCCCAACAACAGGGGAAGGGCTTTCAATAGGTGACTCAAGAAAGTTTGATGGGTCCCTGTCCTGGAGTACAAAAGTAGACCGGGTTTAAAATGTCAGTCAGTTGACAGAGAGGGAAAGAGAAAATAGAACAAAGAACAAGGAACAATACAGCACAGGAACAGGTCCGTCAGCCCTTCAAGCCTGCACCAACACATTTTGCCCCTCCATACTAAAACTGTCTTCACTTACAGGAACCGTATCCCTCTATTCCCTTCCTCTTCATGTATTCGTCCAGGTGCTTATTGAATGCTGCTATTGTGTCTGCTTCCACTACCTCCTCTGGCAACTCATTCGAGGCACCTCATAAATTATTGTCTATCACCCTTTGTGTGTAAAACTTGCCTCGCACATCTCTTTTAAAGTTGTACGCCAAATTTTAGGAGTTAGTAGACAGCTTGGTTTTTCAATCAGGGCTTTGGAAAAGTCATAGAGATGTACAGCACGGAAACAGACCTTTCGGTCCAACTTGTCCATGATGACCAGATGTCCTAAATTAATCTAGTCCCATTTGCCAGCATTTGGCTCATATCCTTCAAAACCCTTCCTATTCATATAGCCATCCAGATGCCTTTTAAATGTTGTATTGTACCAGCCTCCACCACTTCCTCTGGCAGCTCATTCCATACACACACCATCCTCTGTCTGAAAAAGTTGCCCCTCAGGTCCCCTTTAAATCTTTCCCCTCTCACCTTAAACCTGTGCCCTCTAGTTTTGGACTCGCCCACCCGGGGAAAAGATTTTGTCTATTTACCTATCCATGCCCCTCATGATTTTATAAACCTCTATAAGGTCACCCCTCAGCCTCCAATGCTCCAGGGAAAATAGCTCCAGCCTATTCAGCTTCTCCCGATAGCTCAAACCCTCCAACCCTGGTAACATCCTTGTAAATCTTTTCTGAACCCTTTCAGGTTTCACAACATCCTTCCTATAGGAGGGAGACCAGAATTGCACGCAGTATTCCAATAGTGGCCTAACCAATATCCCAAACAGCCTCCACATGACGTCCCAGCTCAATGCACTGACCAATTAAGGCAAGCATACCAAATGCCTTCTTCACTATCCTATCTACCTGCGACTTCATTTTCAAGGAACTATGAACCAATACCCCAAGGTCTCTTTGTTCAGAAACACTCCCCAGGACCCTAAAAAGCCACTGCAGTATTTGCATCACGCAAGTGAGGAAGATTAGAGTTTAAGGAAAATCTAAAGACAGATGAAGCTCGCTGTCAGTGAAAGCCAAAGTTGTACCCACGAACAATTTTTAAAAATTCTCTCAAGGGTGGCATAGCATTTACTGCCCTTGAGAAGGTAGTGGTGAGCTGCCTTCTTGAAACGCTGGGGTCCATGTGCTGTGTGTTAATCCACAATTCCATTAAGCAGGGAATTGCAGGATTTTGATTCAGTGAAACTGAAGGAATGACAAATGTTTCCAAGTCAGGATGGTGAGTGATTTGGAGGGGAACTTGGAGGTGGTGGTGTTCCCATGTATCTGCTGTCCTTGTCCTTCTAGATGGAAGTGGTCGTGTGTTTGGAAAGTGCTGTCTGAGGATCTTTGGTGAATTTCTACTGTGCATCTTGTAGATAGTACACACTGCTGCTACTGAGCATCAGTGGTGGAGGGAATGGATACTTGTGGGTGTGGTGCTAATCAACTGGGCTACTTTATCCTGGAGGGTGTCAAGTGTCTCAATTGTTGTTGGAGATGCTCTCATCCAGGCAAATGGGAAATATTCCATCACACTCCTGACTTGTGCCTTGTAGATGGTGGACAGGCTTTGGGGAGTCAGGAGGTGAGTTACTTGCTGCAGGATTTCCAGCCTCTGACCTGCTCTTGTAATAACTGTACTTATATGCTGAGTCCAGCTGAGTTTCTGGTCAATGGTAACCCCCAGGATGTTGATAGTGGGGGACTCAGTGATGGTAATGCCATTGAATGTTAAGGGGCAGTAGTTAGATTGTTTCTTATCAGAGATAGTGATTACCTGGCTCTTGTTTGCCACAAATGTTACTTGTCTCTTGTCAGCCCAAGCATAGATACTGTCCAGATCTTGTTGTATTTGAACAAGAACTGTTGCAGATCTGAGGAGTATGTGGAGTGTAGGCTTTTTAAGTCCAGGGGATTGTGGACTCAGGACAGGAGAGAGATCAATCAGGACAGGAGCAGTCACTGAGGAAGGCCATGACAGAGATGATCTTGAGCGAAGTTTTCAAAACCAGATTAGCAAAAGTGAAAAAGTTTAATCCCTTGTGAAGATTAACAAGATTTGATGACCCATAGTGTCATTAACATTTGGCAACAATTGCTGAGAAATCCAAGGGATCTGTCCTGATTATATTTCCTACTTGACATGAGCAATGGGTGTTCAAACACAGTACATTACCCATGTTTAACACATGTTAATTCTGGGTGTGAGAAATGAGGTGTCCATCTATTGAAGACTGTCTTACTGATCTAACTTATATGGTGAGATAATGTTGATTGTTCAAAATCATGGAATCTTATGGCTTAGTTCTCTTAGTAAGCCCCTTTGGTCTCACCTTTTTTAACTTTAACAATGAAAGGGTATTGGCCCTAACTAAAATATAACTATAAATTTGGTGACCTGGTTTGGGATTATAACACACCTCATAAAACAGCCCACCGTCAGCAAAGAGACAACAAGGTGCACAGCTGGATGAACACAGCAGGCCAAGCAGCATCATAGGAGCAGAAAGGCTGATGTTTCAGGCCTAGACCCTTCATCAGAAATGGGGGAGGGGAAGGGGGTTAGAGATCCCCTGAGGTTTGTCCGGAGGGAGGAGGGTAACTTCTTCAGGCTAGGCAGCAAAGTTGCACAATCTTGCTCTGAAAGCCTATAGTAATGGCTGATACTGGATGCAGAGAAGTCAATACTGGTCCAGCAGGTGCTGCTATTCCATTAGTTGATCTACCAGTCCGTGACATTCGGATAAAGTCATTTCTCTCCTGTACTTTTGAAATAGGACTGAGTTCCTATTCAATTCTGAGTGGTAGTTGTGGAATCACTTAGCTTTGTCTACCACTTGCTGCTTATTTGTTTGGCATGCAAGTGGTTCTGCTTTGTAGCTTCACCAGGCTGACACCTCATTTTTAAGTATGCCTGGTGCTGCCTCTGGTGTGCCCTCCTGCATTTTCCATTGGACCAGAGATAATCCCTGGACTTGATGGTAATGGTTGACTGGGGGAAATGCCAGGCCATGAGGTTGCAGATTGTGCTGGAGTACAATTCTGCTGATGTCCCTCAACGCGGCATGGATGCATGATTTTGAATTGCTAGATCTGTTTGAAGTCTGTTCCATTTTGCGCAGTGCTAACAAATGGAGACAAAGTTGCAAAATTATTTCATTTTGAACACTCACCTCTTCTCACCCACCGGCTTCTTGATACTGGCTTTTCAGTTATCATTAAGCAAATTCTTTGTTCTAGAGCAAGTTATTCATTCCACAGATAAGTTTTTATCAGAATAAAACCAGTTTGTGGATTAACTTCATTAAAGTAACAGGAGAAAGCTATCTATAATGTAATGCAGTAACTATTAGAGATGGATGCATTCAGACAGGAAAGTGTAGCATTTTAACATGAGGAAATTATTGTCTGATCTACAGCATGATTGATGACCTAGTAATCTTGGTATTGATAGAAGCAAATCTGGGTATGTGCGTGAGGAGGACAGGAATTCAGGATGGAGCCCATTCTCATTGAGTTTTTACTTGCTGAGCCTGTCCACAAAAAAAATTCTGATGGCTTGCCCATTCCTATTCCGTCCTCACATGGAAACAAGTTAACCTCCATATACTCCACGATTGAGAGAAAGCTGGGCTCACTCAAAGTGAGATCATCTGCATGAAGCAGGCAGTAATAAGCCAAACGTGAGGTCTAATATTCTGCTTCCAAACAGAAACTGAACCACAGCCAGACAGGCAAAACAGTAACAGGACAAGAACAGACAGACAGAAACTGTTCTCATATAGGCAGAGGGCCTGAGGAACAGAGCACACATGTTTAAGATGATTGGCAAAAGAACTTGAGAAACATGTGGAATAGCTTTTTGAAGCAGCAAATGTTTAGGATCCAGAATGCATTGCTTGCAAATATGGAGCAGGCAGATTCAATTCTCAAAGCCAAACTGGATAATTATTAGCCAAGGTCTTTTCCCCAGGATACCGGAGTCCAAAACTAGAGGGCATAGCTTTAAGATGAGAGGAGAAAGATATAAAAGGGACCTGGGGGACAACTTTTTCACACAGAGGGTGGTGCATACATGGAATAAGCTGCCAGAGGAGATGGTAGAGGCTGGTAAAATTACAACATTTAAAAGACACTTGAACAGGTACATGGATAGGAAAGATTTAGAGAGATATGGGCCAAACACAGTCAAATGGGACTATTTCATTTCAGGAAACCTGGTTGGCATGGACAAGTTGGGCCGAAGGGTCTGTTTCCATGCTATATGTATCTATGACTCTATTAGACAGCAATTAATGTGTAAGACCATGGGAAAAGGTTATGGAGTAGGACTAATTAGCACTGTAGCTCTGAGAGAGCTGGCCCAGACAAAAAATACCAAATGATCGCCTCATGCTGTAATCATTCTATGATTGCACAGACCCTCTGTGATTGAGAAGGTGGTATACAAGACAACAACACATCACATGCTCAATCAAAACCAAAAGAACTGCGGATGCTGTAAATCAGAAACAAAATCAGAAGTTGCTGAAAAAGCTCAGCAGGCCTGGCAGCATCTATGAAGAGAGGCTGCTACATGCTCAATCAAATTCATTTAAAGCAGGCTGATAGATGGAGTAACTAACTGCATTGTTCACGTACATAGTAGTTTAAAGGAACAAGCTTTCATGTCCCACTTCCCAACCTCCCCACATTTAATCACACAGTTGTAATATATTTTTGAAACTGACACTTACATTGCTGGAGCACTCTTGGGAAGACCCATGGCATTAGTAGTTGGTGCAGAGGGCAATGATGGCAGTACAGAGCTGAGGAAAGCCACAGGATTCTGAGCTGGACTCGGGCAGGAGTTACCAGCATTAATGGAAGTTGGTGATACAATCCGAGGTTGGGAAACTGGCAGAGGAGGAACTGGGGAAGAAGTGGATTGTCCTGTAGCACTTGTGGTGGAGGAACTGTGTAAAAGTGGGGTTGGCAAACTCTGACTGGCATATTTAGCAGGATCTTGAAATGCTGGTGTGAGTGGAAATCCGAAGTAATTCTCTTCACCACACTGTTTTCTTTCAGATACTGTGTTCAGCACGGGCATAGGAGAAAGTGAGGGGGAATAACTTTGGACAGCCGCTGGCATAAAATTCTGAGTAGCAACAAACTGCTTTGGCCGGGCATAATTGAATGACTGAGGTTGGGTGTTTCTCGGAGTTGGTGACCTGCTAGATTGGTTTGGTTGCACAGATGGTTGAGGAGCAGAATTGACAAGATTCATGGTAGATGGAAAGGAGGTTGGCAATGAGGAGGACATAGTAGGAGACTGCTGTGGCAATTGTTGTAGGGTCGCTTCTTGTTGTTCAAGTCGGACCTGGTTGTGTAGCTGTCGCAACTGGACAGGATCACTGCACAAAGAACAAGAGAAAGAACAAGGCAATAAGTTAAATCCAAGTACAAACAACTGGCATGGATAAAGATATGTAGATTTAACACAAATTTTCTTTTTTAAAGAAAACAACAGAATCTTATCCAAGGTTTTGGAGTAGATTTGTAGCTCGGGTTGTGGGTGTTAAGGTTGGTTGGCTCGCCGAGCTGGTTTGTTGTTCCGCAGACGTTTCCCAGCTCGGCGAGCCAACCAACCTCAACAAGAATCTTATCCAGCCTCTCTCCATAGCTGAGATGCTGCATCCCAATGTTGCTATAAAAGTCCTTGTTTTATGGACAATGACTGATCCTGGATAAAAGAGTCAGAGAATTTAACTCACATCTGTCTAAAATTGCAAATGCATTGCTGAAGAGTGTAAGCGCTAAGAATATAAAGTTAATACAATTCTTTTCCCTGCCTTCCTACCTCTTCTTTCACCTTTGGTGGTCTGCATTGCCCTTAATGGGCTTTGCATGTGAATTAATTAATTTGGGAAACATGGGCGATTTAATGATGGGAAAATAAAACCGTTCAGTTGTGAGTCAGAACACTTCTGGGTAGAAAAAGTAAAACAAAAAAAATTAACACAAATCTTGAAGAGCTCTTGTGATGCAATCATATAATCCCTACAGCATGGATGCAGGCCATTTGGCCCATCAAGTCCACAGTGACCCTCCGAAGAGAATCCCACCCAGTCCTAGCCCCCTACCCTACCCCCATAACCCCGCACCTACCATGGTGAATCCACCTAACCTACACATCCCTGGACAACTTAGCATGGCCAATCCACCTAGCCTGCACATCTTTGGACTGTGGGAGGAAACCCAAGCAGACACGGGGACAATGTGCAAACTCCACACAGACAATCGCCCAAGGCTGAAATCGAACGTGGGTCCCTGGTGCTATGAGGCAGATGTGCTAACCACTGACCCACTATGACACCCAATGGTAGTGTCCCTACCTCTGAGCCAGGAGGCCTGGGTTCAAGTCCCACCTGCTCCAGAGGTGTGTAGTAACATCTCTAAACAGGTTGATTTAAAAATATCAAACACAAATCATCAAGTATTTGATCCAATTAACTTATTGGATAACACATAAACATTTATTTAGTATTCAATCCACATGCCAAATTACAAAGTCATTTTTAAGAAATTTCTACATTACAACAGTGACTATGAATCAGAAATATTTTATGAGCTGTAATAGCACTGCAGGGAGGTTGTGCGGTTTTGAATCACGTTATATAATGCAAGTCTTTTTTATTAAACAGTAAGCCTAACAGCAGCAACTCAGATTTAATTATATTCCTAATATGCTTCAGTCATTCTCCCTAAAAAACCTAAGGATTACCTGGGATGATTTCCAACACCGTTTTTGGACTGGGAACAAAAAACATGATTATTGTATTATGTATTAATATATTACGACATTCTCATTGATACCTGCAATTTTGAAGCAGCTCAGGAATTAAGTAAGTATGCTCCCCCATAAAACTGCAAACTGTAGTCCATCGAGATGCAACTCCTTTGATCCAATGGACAGGGTGTGCCATTCATCCAGATGAAGTTAGCACTGACCAGTTGAACCAGTGATTTTTCATGGTCCTGGGCCTTTCATGGGTCATTCATAAATGTGGCAACAGGAGCTCTCCCACTGATTTCTGTGCATCACCCAGCCCCCAAGAATCTTCCCATTCACAGCTGATCCATTGATTCTACTTTCTCCATTACCCCACTTCTTCCCATTAATATCCCACTTTTGATTTAAAGCCACTCAATTTGAATTTACCCCCAGTGTTCATCCCACCTGAGGCTGGCCAGCTGCCAACAGCATCTTTCAGCACTGTCAACTCACCCATTATTACACTAACGTACAATAACCACAAAAATGGTTTGGGCCTCTCACTGGTGCCATCAAACAAGTGATGTGGTCACTCGGTCACCCACACAAATCAAAACCTGAGTTCACAGTCTCCAGGTTTAAAACATTTTTTGTTGCTGCCAAGATTATTTCTGATTTTCACAGCTCAGAGATTCACATATTTAGCAAGGTCTTGCAGTGTATAAGGCTGGTGCATATATCACAAGTTGAAAGGATTCAGGAAAACAGTTGGTGAGCATGTCTGATACTGAGGCATTCTGTGGGGATAAAAGGGTTAGATGTTGGATTCAAAGAAAACAGTAGGTCTCTGAGAGAAGTGGGCAACGACAGAAATTTTCAAGGACAGTGAAATGTACAAAATGCTTTGTTTATGGAAAGGCAAGGTACCTGAATGGACCACAGGAAAGAGCAGCAGTTGGCTATTCCGCTCCCCAAACTTGGTCTGCCATTCAATGAAATCATGGCTGATCTGCAATCTAACTCCTCAAAGAAAATGTTGATCAATTTGCAAAAGTATGAAGGTTATGATACAAAAGTAAGTATATTGGTTAAGCCATGATTTCATTCAATGGCAGCAGAATGAACTTGAGGGATGAAATGGCTTATTCTTGTTGCAATGTGGTTCCAACTCAAAACTGGCTACTTTCTGTAGAAGAAAAGCTTAAACCATCACAATGTTGAAAATGCTAAAACAAAAAAAACAAAATTTAATTAACCTGTTCAGACATGACACTTCCGTGGCAGGTAGAACTTGAACCTGGACTTTCTAGCTCAGAGGTAAGGTCACTACCAGCGTACCACAAGAGCCCTAACACTGTAAATGCAAGCCAACCAATAGTTCCAATATACTTCAGGTATTAAACAGCCAATAACACGAACAAGGTGGGTCTTGAGTTGCAAGACCAATTTAACACATCATTGGTGCAAAGCATGAACCTTTCAAAGGAATTCGAGCACAGCCAGCCACTTTGTTGAAATACAGACTGTAAATTAAATTCTCTGCCAGCACTCATTTAAAGAGGCGGCATGCATTTTAGTGGCTAGCCCCTACCATTAATATACTCTCCTAACAGTAACCAGCTGAATAAATATATCACTGCTGTGAGCTTTGAGCATTAGTTGAGGCTGTGTTCAGCTTTCGACGTTCACTTGTTGCTAGAGTTGTACTGTGCTGAAAAGGACTTCTGATACTCACCAGAGGACTTTCTGGGACAGATTGTAAAGACTTCACAAAGAGGCTACTAACATTTTTCCTGAAAATTTTCTGAGCACTTCACCTAAAATACGTAGGCTATGCTAACTGACAACAAGGAGCATGCACATTTGCAGTGATAGCTCTCATAAATATAATAACAAATAATGACAATTAGTGATACCTATTTCATTAAAATTGTAACAGTAATAAATTGCTAAACAAAATGCAACTTTTCTTTAACTGTTTAAAAATCAGTGTAATATCGAACAAATGCATATTCAACAGTCACCATCAGAGCTTTGGTGTCAGCACTGACCAAAAATGAGTAATTGCTGAGCTAGTTCACCTTAAATAAGGTACCAGAGAAAAGGGAGTGCTTAGTCACAGACACTCTGCCCAGAGACTCCCTTGGTGTGAAGTAGGATTTGTGTAGGTCAGGCAGAGCAGCGTCACCTACTGCAAAAGTGAAGGCTGGAGGCTGAGGGAGCTCCTTCCCACCTCAGAGTATAGAACCCTCTCTCCTCTTCCAATACATTCAGGAGCCTGCGGCCTCTCACACTTTGTGCCTGGCAATTATACAATGTTTCACGGTGTGTCAGTCAGCACACTCCATATCTTCAGTAGAAATGGGTGCATGAGGCTTTTATTCTGCAAGGATTGCTTCTCATCAGCACCTGGGTGCTAAATCAGTGCATCGTCCTTCAGAATATGATTCAGTAATGGTAGTTATCAATTAGATTTAAACAATTAAAACAAGGCTTTCAAACACATGTGTGTCTTATTAAAATCCAGTTGGTATCTGACCTCAGCTGCTTTTGTGGTGCTGTGGAAGAGTTCCTGCCTCTGAAGGAGGAGGCTTGCGTTCAAGTCCCACCTACTCCAGAGTGTGTAAGAACATCTCTGAACAAGTCAATTAGAAAATACAATGTGTCCTCACCTGCTTTTGTGGTGCAGTAGAAATGTCCCTACCTTTGGGCCAGGAGACCCAGGTTTAAGTCCCACCTGCTTCGGAGGTGTGTAATAACATCTCTGAACTGGTTGATTCAAAAAGACCTAAAAACAACATCTCACATTTCAAACAGGGTATGTACTTGTACTGCATTCCCTGGTGTTCCCTGGAGAGTCCTTAAAAAAGGGCTCTTGTAACGCACTGGTAGTGTCCCTATCTCTAAACCATCAGGCCTGATTTCAAGTCCCACCTGCTCCAGAGATGTGCAATAACATCTCTGAACAGGTTGATTTGAAAATATAAATGGAAGATATATCTGTGTCTCACCTTTGGTGTCATTGTACTGCTCTTAACAGGCTCTGCATGTAAAATGGCTATGAATTGGAAACACGGATATTTAGAAGTGGTTAACAGGTGAAAAGTTACATGGTTGATTTGGTAGTGGGAGGGAAATCCTCAACATTCAGTTGGGTATGAAAGCTCCTTTTGATATCTCTTCTCAGCCTTTCCCCAGCTTCATCAAATTGGAGAAGCTCTGCAAAGAAACCACCTCCATGCTTTTATATTATTCTTCAACAGAACAAATGTTGAATATATCACATGTAAGGACAAGTCCATGATTTACTCTTTAGTCAATGCAGTCTCATGTCAAACAGATTGAAAACTAAATGAACCACGCCGCGTTTTCAACTGGAATTCCCTTTACCGAAAAGCACACAAATTATACTGAACTTGTAAACTCAGTATTCTCATTTTGAGGACAGTGTCTAGATTGCAAATGTCTTTGTAGGGCTGTTGTGGCACAGTGGTAGGGTTCCACAGTCCCTCAGTAGGGTCCTACAGTAGTGGGAGGCCTGGGTTCAGGTCCTACCTGCTCCAGAGATATATCATATTGTATCTGAACAAATTGATTAAAAATACTTACAAATGTCTTTGTTTATGTTTCAGTTATTAC